AAGAAAATGCAACTAGAACTATAGGGTCGACTCCGCAGCGCAACTGGTGAAAAATGGGAGGCAAACTTTAACCACTAACTTCTTATTGTTCAGGATCCGAATCTTAATCGTCTTGATTTGAAATAGTTAAATAAGGGGAATGAGCTACACTAGCCCAGTAAGAATATCAACACTTTACAATCGATGCAGAAAATCAAATGTTGGTAAAAATCACAAAATAACCAATAAAACTATTTCCCTTTTAGATAAATTCATTTAATTTTTAAAAAATACTAGTTTCATACTCATCTTTCAAGTTCCCAGATACGATAGCAATCTGTTAAACACATTAAGAAACTAATAATAATCAAACCTTACCTTTTTACTTACTTATTGGTGTCTCTAGGGGTCCATAGGAGTTCCCACTATATGTGAACCCAATATTCAATCTATTAATTAATCGACCATCTCCATATCCCGTGCGGTAATGGGCGTCAAACATATCACCGCCTTAATACCCCGTCCGGTATGAGGGTGAACAAATACTTTCTAACCCCTTCCAGTATGAGACTTTTCAGCCCTCTTCGACTGAGGTAACGTCCACAGTAGGGTTGCCTTATGCACCGAGTCCGTATACCCTTTCCCATAACATCAGGTAAGCCTTCTACATACATACCTTCATCATCAACCAGCCATCCATTATATACAATAATCTTATTTCATAATTTCAGGACAATAGAACGATAGTTAAGTAGACAATACAATTTGATACTAAAAAAAGCATAGTCATGACATTTATTTTCAACTAGTCAACAGATATGGATAAACGGGTAGATAAACTAATAAATGAGAAAGTAATTAAAATCAATAAATTAAAGCACATGATATAATAGTAAACAATTTAGGCAGTATAGGAATAAATAGACAACACAGATAAACTATACATTGACCAGTTACCAGCTCCATTGGTGACTTGTACTTAATTAAAGAAAGGTTGCCAATATTCACAAATTTCACCATTTAATTATTATTTAAACTTTAATTAACCGTAACGGGAGAAATGATGAGGAATTCTTACTCTGGGTTGGTGTTTGAAACACTGTCTTTTTTATTGTACTTCCCGGCGGTTCTTGAATTTCTTGAGTTTTTTATTTGAAAATCAAAAATACATGTCACATATCTTGAAATATCCAAAAAGGCAAAAAATAAAGATTTTTAAATTTTCCGTGCCAATTTAGGGTTCTAGCACGGCGCCGGAGCATGGCAACGCCGTCGACTCTGCCGCTTACGGTGGTGCTTCCTCTCGATTTTGGATAGTCTTGAGCAAAAATCTATAAAATTCGTGGTTAGGTGGCCTCTGTTGGCTGAAAAAAAAAAGAAAAATCGAAGTATTATCGATGGGGTGGTTTTTCGGTGCGACGACTCCACTGTTCCTCTCTCACGGCCGAGGATTTTCTTCAGTCGTCCTGCACCAGAAAAGAGTAAGGAATACAATGGTCAGAGAATGGAAGGAAACAGAAAGGGGATTCGGGCTCACTGAAGGGAATTTAGGTTGCGGGTGCAGTTGCTCGGACAAGCTTCCCCCTTGGTTTTCGGCTTTTCTTTTATTTTTTAGCGTCGATATAGGTGTGGGGAGACTTAGAACTGAATTTCAAAGCGAAAGGGGGAAAAACTCACCTCTCTGGTGTCAGCGGCGAGCTCTGGTGCGACGACGACAACGACAACTAATCTTCTTCTCTGGCGACTAGTTCGCTTCCGATGCCCCTTTTATTCTTCTCTGATTCACTCTTGGCAGCCAGGGTTAGGGTTTCTTATGGAAGAGGAGTTTAAATACTCCTCTTCATTAAATCCGGGCCATCCATTCGAAGAGATGTGACTCATTCTTGGCTGTTGGATCAATCCTATATGGGAAAACGAATCTGAACTGCACAATCAGATGAAATCAGGACCGTTCGATCGCACTTGAAAGGAAAACGAATATGGATCGTACGTGCGTGCGGGAGTGGATCTGGACCATCGGATTGGTTAGTACGTGGATTGCTCGCGTGGCTTCCCGCATGGATGCGTGTTCGCGTGTCTGCCACGCGGCGCACGGTGATTGGTCGTGCTATTGACGTGGCAGTTCTACGTGGCCCTTTTTTGTTATTTGCACTTTTACCTCAGTTTTCCAGTTTTTTTTTTAAAATAAGTTATTTTTTTTTTCAATTTGGCCATGACTTTTGAAAATTATTTTCAAATACACCTAAATATAATGTTCTTCAAATTTTCAATAAAATTGAAACTT